CCTTGTCGACTGACTTCAATCCACGAAGAACTGTGGAATGACTCACCTCAAGAGAGAGTGCCATTTCACGAGTAGTTTGTACGGATCGGCTTCCACAAGGCTCCGCAGCACATCCAAATCCGTCTCCATTGGGCATCACGGACGATCTTCATCTTCGATGGAATAGTCGCCCGATGCGAACTCCTAGTGTCACTTATAAATTGTACACGTCCTGCTTGTGAACGCCCTTCATACCTCTGCAGATTGCCGCAGGTTCATGGCCAGATAAAAAAATAAATATGATGGTGTTGCTGATGTGGAGTTGCGAGGGCTCGAAATCGTGAGGCACAGTTGCGGGAAAGGAAACAGTTGAGCGCGTCATCCAGTATGCATTTGGAAGAGCTTTCCATACTCTATCTAAGAATGCCTCGCGCGTTCATTTTCGTCACCTCTTTCCCGAGTTATGATCGCTAGAAGTCATCACTATCACATTGTCTGAGGACTTATGACTCAACCTAATATATGAGTGAAGGCAAGAGTGAGAGTTCATGGCACAAGGTAGTACAAGATTGACATAAGTAACTGGCAACATGAGGATATCATGAGGATAAGTGACTGACAGCATGGGCATATGTAACTGACGACATGAGAATGTGCAGCTGAAAAAGGAGACAAGGTCTAGAGCATGTAACAAGAAGTGAAGCTGGAGAGGCAGCTGGACCGTGTCGGCTCTTTTATTGGGACGGCGTGCGTGCGCAGTCCTCGGCCAGTTGCAAGACGTCTTTGTACGGTGTTCTTAGCATGTGAAACCAAGTCGCTTTCGTACGATATGAGTCATAGTCTTGTTTGACAGTTTTTGATTGGCAAATAAGAGAAAATTATAGAAAATCGCGTGTTACCCTCCACACTAGTCTTACAGAGTTAAAAGTAAGTTTACTCAGATGTGACCGGGGAGAACTTGCATGAGAGTGCCTCGGACCAATTTAACTGGAGGAAAAACGGATGAATTACAAGGAAGGCTTGAAAAAAGGTCAAAGACTTTGAAAGATCTCAGCTTAATTGCATGGGAAAGATCACGCAAGGATGGAAGAACATCCAACATCGATGTTGCATGGGATACTTTCAACCCACAAAAAGCACGTAAATGGTCTGTAACTCGGTTATCCTTTGAACCTGTACCTGCGCCACTGTAAGAAACCATTCCAACTTTACGCAAAATTCAACATGCCAAATCAGTCATGCCTTCTCCATCGGCTTATTACAAGCCACCACAGCTTCGTTCATAACAATGGCAAAAAAATACATAATTCAGATTGAAGTACACTGCTGATTAGCGTACAGCGGAATATCGATGATGAAGTGCATCTATTCAGCTTAATGCTAAGGCTTACGTGAGCAGTAAGTGGTGAAGTTGATGTTATCAAAGGTCCCGGACTAGAGATATCAAAATAACAAGCAATGTATGGGACATATATAACCTCCACCAAATCACCGATCAGCGAGAATCATTCCCACAACGTTCAGTAGTTCAGTAAGTCTCAAGCAAAAAGGCACAGAGCCACATCAGAAAGTATTACCTCGCCGTAGTTCTTTTGTAAAAATGGCGGTAAAAACTAACACTATCAATCGTCATGCACGACTTTCCTTAACCGTTGGCGTGATGCAATTATTGATTTCTCTGCTTGAGTTCTAGGTTGAAATAAGTCCTTATTAACGGGAAGTTTCGGCGGGATCGCCTTCTTCAGAGCCTGGAAGGATCGTAGTGATTCAAAACAGCCCGACCAAACGTCTCAACTACCCTACTAGGAAGCCAGCATTGGTACAGTAGGTACTCCGGACTGGATGCGATTTAGTCACCGGTAGCAGACTAACCTTTTAGACGGCTTCAGTTTGACGGTGAGGCATTGTTCTCTCTTTCATTTCTGGATCCCTAGATCCTGGATCCAGGATGCCTCAAGAGTTTCTCGGGCTGGTCTTTGCGACTTTCGCGCCAAGACCTCGGCCGTAAATTCGAGATCGGCCCCGTATTAAGTTTGTACTCCGTGGGCCCCTAAGGCAGTTGACATGCGTGACATGACCTTGCCCTCTAAGTGCTTCTTGATGCGTACATACAGCGACTTTCCACCGGTACTCGGAAATGTGAGCCGGCGTCCAGAGGGTCGTTCTCCCGTCAGTGGTATTTAGTCGGATTGGCGGTTAAGTAGGTGAAAACACCTCGAGCAAACCACCAAGCACAAGGCGTTTTAATTTTGGACATAAAGGGTATGTTCAAAGTAGGCGCCAGACGTTGTCCCATAGCTAAGCCCCTGTCTGCTCAAAATACTTTCCCGACCATCTAAAAATGTTGCAACTGCATTCCTTGAGCAATAACATCGCCTGATCAGTAGAGAGTCCATACATGTCGATGGTGCTTAGACGCTGATTTAACAGCTCCAGTGCTGCTTCCATAACTGAACCATTACTCACGTTAGTGTAGAGGC